ATACTTAGCGAAAAATTAAATAAAACACAAGCGTAACTTTCAAATAGTGACGCATTTAATATATAAGCACCCCGGGGCAATATAATTTTTTCGCCCTTCCCCCTTATAAAAAAAAAAAAATAATATATATAAATAAATAAATTCAAAGTTAAGCAATAAAAAAATTAATTTTATGAAACAAATTATAAATCAGTTGTTTTACGATATTGTATTAGACAATTTTATAGTAATACCTAACGTTAACCTAATTTTTTTTTCAAATTGAATATTCCTTTCTTAAATTATATATATTAAATATAGAAAATGGAATTAACACTTATTATATGCACAATGATTACCATGGTTTTTTATTAGATTATATATAGTAAAATAATTGATGGCTTATACTTTTTTTTCTTTACTTTTGAGAAGAAAAATGTTCAATAACATCATTGAAATTAATAGTTTTCGTTAAATCATACATGCATTTTTAATCGTTACACAATAGTTATAATGAAAATTTGAATAACATATAATATTGAGCACCTGTTGTCTTTCCTCTACTACACCCTGCATATGGACGTGATTTGTTAAAATTAAATGCTGTGTAGATGTAACATACAACTGATAATTAAACATTTTTTTGAACAAATAAACTTTAGAATACTTGTAATTGAAATGCTGAAGTATACAAAAACGTCCAAAACTAAATTGTTAATGTTATTACTAATAAGAGTTATAAATAATTATATAACAACGATTTTTTCAGAATAGGTAATTCAAATTTTGCTTCTATAACTATGTTGATTGGGGGTGTAAATAATTAAATGAATTCAATTAGCTTGGAGATGCTGAAGTACCAAAAGTAAAACTTTTTTATACACCAATGGAAAGTCAATTAAATCTATTTGTGAAAAAAATTGATAAACTGATTAAAAAATTATGTACAGTTGTTTTAACAATCAGAATTTCGCCTTCGAGGAGAGTCATGTAGATTTCAAAACAATTCGAGTAATTCGCCGTTTGGAGAGATCGGCGTGCGTAAACCTATCGAAATAGGCAATATTAATTATAATAATTATAAATAGTAAAATAAAAAATGCGAACGTGTTCACGCGTATGAAATTCACACATGCAGCTGAATCGTTTTCATTGTTCTTAATGTGTATTTTACAACATTTGATTGTATAAATATGTAGTAAGCAATTTTATGTTAGCAATAATCACACCTAGGATGGACGTCATTGGTTACGATATTGCCACAGCGCAAAGCTTTTGATCGCAGAAGCGTTTGATCACGTATGACACAAGGGACTTCTATACAAAATTCGCTTCCTACCTGCGTTGGTATTCCTTACTATTAGCTCCTTTCTATCAAAACGACCTTTACTATGAAAATGAGATATCCGTCTGTTTTTAGTTATACGAATATTTCGTTGTTTAATATAATTTCTGATGTAATTGCATTTTTAAGTTTGAAGAAAGTGTCAACAAATTGACAACACTTAATGATTTTTGGAACCAAACTAATAGCTATTCGCTATAATAACGATAATCGTATTAACAAAACGTATTTACAGTGAAATAAATAGATTTTCGTGGTTTTAACACAGAATAAACTGAAGGGAATCGAAGTATAGTCCGATGCATATGACCGATAATGGTCAATCCGATAACTCCGATAACGCGTAGATATACTGCCTTTAGTTATAAATTCAGACAATCACAAGATTATAATTATAATCATTATTCATTACTATCGTAAGTTACGTTTTCAAATTAATTTTGTTTGATCAAAAAAAACAGGTCAAAAAGCGTCCTGAAAGAAGTTTGTCAGGACAACAGGACACAACGCTGAAATAAAGGACAATCCTGCAAAAAACAGGACGTATAGTCATCCTAATGTACTCTGTATTTTCTGTATTTATTTCCAATCCTAAACGTTTCGCATTCTCTATTAGGTTTTTGGATTGATTTTTGAGTTGTTTTTGATTTTCCGCCAGTAGAATAGGGTGACCAAATAAAAAAAAAAAAAACACAGGACACTTATTTTGCAATGGTTTATACAAAATTATTGACTGTCGTAAAAACAAGAAACTTATTTAAATAATATATATATATATATATATATATATATATATGTATACATAGGTAATAATTGTAATATATATTATAATAAAAAAACTTATAATTTCAAAAAATAACTAACATTTTAGTGGTATGAATGTTATTAATATTTATTATATCAAGTTACAATAATCATATATTATTATTATCGACGATCGACATCGTTGAAATTTCAGGGAAAATAAATACCCACACTAAAAATAAACATCTCAACATGACTGGATTTCATAGATAAAAATATTTAAAGTAGTTTATTATTAATGACTATCAATTAATCGCTAAAATCATTTTATGATGAAAAAATAGTGAAAAATAGGATTAAAAAAGGACAGTCACGAAAAATAGGATTAAATGCGAGGTGTGTTACCACAGCACCCGCACTTTCGAAATCATAAATTGTAATCAAGCAGTATTATTAACTTTATTTTGTACAATTTTTTACAACCAAAATTAAATTTTGTACAACTCCCAAACCTCCCCGAAATTCAATTTCATTTTACGGGTGCTGCGGTAACTTTACACCAGCACCCGGATCAACTATTTTTCACAAATTTCAACTTTAAACGGTACAGTCTATAGTCACATCTGAGACTTTTTTTTGGTAGGTAGGTACTGAGTACTTATGTAAAAGGGCTAATACATTTTTTTTTTGGAAAATCGAAATTTTTTTGATCAATTTTGATCAAATTACAAAAAAATTAAAATTGCCGGGACTAGCATTCATTGATAATCAGATTATAGTTTTTCTAATAAATTTTATTTCTACTTATGTTTCGTGTATCTATTTTTTTTTTTTAAGGCGGGATTTTATAAGGGGGTGGGTGATCAAAAATATAAAAGCCACAGCGAAAACAGGATTTTTCTGCGCATGCCTATGGTGTAGCTATAGGTGGTGTAGATTTACAAAAACAATTACCGCACGAACTAAAGTGGGTATGATTTCGGAATACTCAAAACTACATGCACCACTACTGCTGTACTGATGTCATCTGTTGCGAAACGAGTAGGGTTGACGTTCACATTTGACCAGGGGAAACAAAGTTCGTAATATACGAATTAACCGGTGTATAACGTTATATACGTTCAGCCAAAAGGAATGCACGTGGCACAAAAATATGATATTCGGTACATAATATGATTTTTTTAAATTTTTTCTATAGCCCACAACGGCTGTAAATGGGCGAGTTTTCAGTTTTAGAGCTTGTATTACGATATTATGCATTTACGGATAAAGAAATCAAATACAAACAGAAATACAAACCGGAATATAAGAAAAAACTGCGGAAATCGGTTTATTTTATGTTACGACGCGTAGCACACGTGTAGTCGGTACATAATCGTAACAAGAGATCGGATAGCATTTGCTTTTCTTTTATATTTGTCTAAAACGAAGCTATATTAGCTTTACATTGAATTTATACTGTTTTTATTATTGAGCTATTTTCTATTAAAAGAGCTTTTCGTGGTCTCTTTCACTTTTGATTTTATTTTAGATTTTGTGGAACGAAGAATGTATTGATTTTAACAATACATTTAATTTGCGTCTGAGTACTCGATTTCTCAACTAGGAGGAATGCTCCGATCATCTCAATCAAAGATAGTTTCTAATTGGAAATGTTGTCTGTCTAGTTGAGAGAGGTCCAAATAGTTTTCTAAACAATCACAAAACACTGACGTAAAAATATACAGTACATTAGTTTTCGACATATTTATTTATTATTTTTTTTTTTTTTATAACAAATCAAAAAAATGATCAAGATTTGGAGATGAGTACCTCAACTCTTCATTAAAATGTTCAACTCTCATATAAATATACATATATATATACATACAAGGTTAGGTATGCTTTCAAACTTTCAAATATGGATTTTCAACGCCTTCAATAAGAAATACAATACAATTGTTTTTTCTTTTTTTTTTTTGTGATCTCAATTGCTTGTAAATTATTTAATCATACAATTAATAATAAAAAATAAAAATTTAACAAAAAACTTTCCATTTTATAGCAATCCTAATAATTATTAGGATTGCTAAAAATGAAAATAAGATGATTTTATACTTTTTTCAATCTAAAACGTTTAAGAAATATTAATGGCTCTTGTCTTAAATTGTAAAATATCTCTCGAGCGAGACCAGTTAATTCAGATGGTTATATCATAAGTGTACAAGTAGATTGAGAATTAAAATCTTAATTTTATATCAACTCATTTATTTTGTTAAAAACAATATATTTTAGTATACTTTTTTTTTACTAAATTAAATTTTCTCCGTGTAAAAATATAAACAGTTCTCAATTGTATTCTGTTGTTTAATTTTTATATTCAGTATTTTTTTATACCAAACAAAACCGTTGTAAAATATTTCACTTCAATAATACTTCAGATTTCAGAACTTTTATCGACAACTTACACGTTCATATATATATTAAGTGTTCAAATAATTATTACATTTGTTTCTGATAACAATTTCATATCGGTCGTTGTACGCGCATTGTACATTACACGATAATATAGCTAAACAAAAAAATAATCATCGCAATGTGCAGTGCCACAAGGCCGCAACTACTGCTTCTGCGTTATTTTTCGCGTCTAACTCGACTGGTGTACAATTATTTCTCGAATACATTTTTACATTTTTCACGACGAAACTACGCGTTTCGCCACATATGGTTGCGCCCCATTTAATGATCGAATTTACTTCGACATAACAAACCGTATAACGTCAAAACGCGTACAATGATGAATGGAATATAAACCAATGGTCATCGTTTTTTTTTTTTTTTTTTTTTTCTTAACTCCTAACAGCTATTTACAAATATGATTAAGTTTTTAACTGTCAGGAGATACGAGTTTATTTATTCGATCCGAAATATTCAGTCAGCATTTCAAAACACTTTTGAAATACATTTCAGTCGGGCGTTCATCGCAACGCCTTCGACGACTTATTTTTTTTTTTTGCTACAATACGACGAAAAATCAAAAGCTCCTAGCCGACAGAACTAGTGGCGCCGAACTTCTACTCCAAATAAAAATACAACGGTCTCAATCCTACAATTTTACTTGGCATAGAAAAATAATTTGCACTCTCAAATTATAAGTATTGAACATGATTTATACAAGTCAGACACGTACCGCACCGTTCCGCAAAATATTTTATTATACGTTTTAATTTAGGTAATTCACATTTGAATCTTTCATATACGTACCGATCCGACATAGTCCGCCTGACCGAAAATAATAGTGAGATCATAATATTGCAAAGTGCAAACCATAGATCGGCCTCTCTGGTCTCCAGCTTCATTTTAAAAATATGGTTACGCCTAACCAAAGTATAGGGTTCGGCACCACAAGACAGAACGACGCACAGTGGTCTAAAATTGAAAAAAGGTGGCCAAAAATGTTTATTTGTAACAATTATATTTCAAAGATTTTGTTTTAAAAATGTACTAAGCACTTCTTTTAGAATTTTATATTATAAAATTTTTTTAAAAATATTCATTTTTACTTATGCCAAATCTGTATTTATGTTGAAAAATGTTTCTTTTTCATTTAAAAATATCATTAGTTTTGTACTAATTATTAGTTAATTTTAAACGACTCTTAGTTAAAATTAATCTTATCTTTGGATATATTATATTGTATATAGGTATATGCTGTCAAATATTTATATTTGTTATTATGACATTAAACTATGTGTACGACTTTGTAGGTCGTTGAATTCAATTAATTACTGATAGACTATTTATAAGCAATCAAAACTTTTACGATTTTAAGTTATTTAGTCAACGATAGTCACGCTCATATATACATACAATAAAACTAGATAATATATCGAAAATGTTTATGTGTAGATTACTTGCTCATATCTGCTCTACTTTCGATAAGACATTATTGAATTTAACATGTTTATGAAATCGATGAGATACTTGAATAGTTGTATTCGTGCGTTCGATACAGTGTTATTCATTATGACACGGTCGTGTTTCACGGATACCGCGATCTTACCCGTCACACCCCTTTGCCTTGGTATCATCGTACGTTTGATTATCAATCGGGATACCCGAATGATTAAAAGAACGAAAACGGCGATGTACCACGAAGCGTTCGCGGATGGTGTACCGACCGCCGCGAGCGATCGGCAAGCTTGTCTGCCTTAGCCATCTTCTTGGTACTTTTAATAAACTATATTTTTGCTAATTCTTTTGTTATTTCTTTAACATTTTAATATTTTAGTAAGTTTTAAATTTAATTAGTGTGTGTGGTGATTTACCATGACATATAATTTGGCTCATCTGTTATCATTCGATTTGATGTCCATGAATATATTATTGTTAACAATATGTCTGATTCATTACAAGTAAAAAACAGTGCATTGAAAATAGTTTTTAATACATTTAATTTTGACGAAATATCGTTTGTGTATATTAAATCACTTAAATATTTTTGGCCACTCTTTGAAATGTAATTGTTACAAATAAACATTTTTGGCCATCTTTTTTCAATCTTAGACTACTGTGCGACAGGGCATTGTCTAGTTATCGCCGTATTATCATCACTGTCATAATATTGTTATTTTTATTACTGCTCATAAGTCGTTTAGTTTTTAACATCGGAAGTGACATAATGTCAGGCCCGTATTTAAATATTTAGCGCCCTCGGGCATATAATTTATGCCCCCCCCCCAAAAAAAAAATATAAAAGACAATAATATAACACTTATTATTTCGTCCATAATCGAGATTCTTTAATATTAAAATATAACTTATAAATGAAAATCGTTTAATACTTTTTTAAATTAACAAATTAAACAAATTATAACATAATAAAACATACTATTTTATTTTTTTAATTACATAATTTTTAAAATATTTTACCACCCCTGAGACTTGACGCCCCCGGGCAGTGGCGCATTTAATATATATGCACCCCGGGGCAATATAATTTTTTCGCCCTTCCCCTTATAACAAAAAAAAAATAATATATATAAATAAATTCAAAGTTAAGCAATAAAAAAATTAATTTTATGAAACAAATTATAAATCAGTTGTTTTACGATATTGTATTAGAAAATTTTATAGTAATACCTAACGTTAACCTAATTTTTTTTTCAAATTGAATATTCCTTTCTTAAAATATATATATTAAATATAGAAAATGGAATTAACACTTATTATATGCACAAGGATTACCATGGTTTTTTATTAGATTAAATATATTATACTTATTATTAATTATATATAGTAAAATAATTGATGGATATACTTCAACTAAACTATTCTCTTTTATAAATGCTAACAAACATTGAACGCTTTTAGGTACAGTTTTACTCCTTTTGTAATTTTTTTAAATGTGCCCTAAAGTGAATACCGCATTCTGTGTACCCGAGTCTTTATTATAAATATTGAAAGAAAATATAATATCTTATCGAATAATAAATGTAATATATCTATTTTGCTACTTCACTATTACCTAGGTGACTAGGTATAGTATAATTTTTTTAATTTCTTATTAGATACTCAACAATATTTTTTAAAATACTAAACAATACCGAAAAAGGTGTGAAAATTAAAAAAATCATGAACACATCAATAATAAAAGTTAGAATATTTTGCCGCCTGGGAACATTTGTCCCTTTTGCCCCCCCCCCTTAAATGCGCCACTGCCCCCCGGGCATGTGTCTAGCCATGCCCCCCTTTAAATACGGGCCTGCATAATGTTAAACAAAAAGTGTAATTATATTAAACACGTGTTTTAACTGAAAATTATTGATTCATCATATAAATTGTTGTTTCTTATATAGAAGAAAAAAATATTAGTATGTTTATAAGTAGGGCCCGGATTTTTATGCAAATGCATATTCTTCTACAATTCACCTAGAATAATTTTGATTATAAATGTCGACGTTTCGTAATGTGTATAGTCTAGGGTTAATTTTTTTTTTGCATATTTTTAAATGAAAATACATATTTATTGTATATTTCTTGATAGTTGTATTCTATCAATTCTCATGATTAGTATCATTAATAACGATAATATTAAAAATGTGTATTTGTGATAGGTTTTTACAGTCATACAATATACGCGTTGGGAATGTATTTTGACGAAATCTAGTACTTTAACAAGTTTTGATTAAACGATAAAGTCAAGATATTGTATTGCTGTTCTATAAATATTAATCGTGTCGCACTTATATTAGCATTTTATTGACATTTCAGGAAATATTTAAAAGTAATTGATACCAATTTTAGGCACATGTATTGTAGCAAAAAAAAAAATGTATGTAAGTATAATTTTTTTTTTATACCTTTATAAGAATTGTTGACATTTATAATAGACAAAAATAATATTAACTATAGTTGAAAAATACTCCTGGAAAAATAAATCATAAAATATAGAGTATTTAAGTGCCATGTCAACTGGCGGTCTTTAATTAATGAATCACGTTCATACGATCGGATAGAGGTCTGAAAAATATTGCCCTCGAGCGACAAAAACCTCAAAACACGGTACCGAGTTAACATACAGGTGTATATAAAAGCCGTACGTCGTTCAATAATTTCTCGATGATGGTTTATTCGATTAGTTCCTTTCGGTCCGCGCGTCTTAATTGACAACATTGGCGAGCGCACCGCGTCCGCCGTCGCACGGTTAAGGTTTTTGAACTTGACGCCAAACACATGGGCCCCGCGAGCGGCTGTTGATTTTACCGTCCGTCCGCAGTGATGAGTGAAAAAAAAATTAAATTGAAAAAAATATCACGTGCCTATTATCAACCGACGGCGATAACCGAACATAGATTTATACGACCACGAAGATAAGAGATAAATCTCTAGTCGGGTATGTACCAGTTGCCCAAAAAAGTACTCTTTATTAGTTGAAAAATTAAAATTAAATCAAAAAAAAAAAAATGTTATTATTATTATACAACTATACAAAACAATTTTTTTTCTGTGTAGGTATTTGCAAAACTTTAGATTTTTGACACTTAATGGCTTTTCACCTTCTTCTTGATCATTTATGTTATTAACTAATTCAAATACGTCCCTTTAATCCACGGTTGTTATTTTTGCTTCATTGGTATTTTTCACCCGCATTTCAGTTTTGTTCAACCAGAATTGTTGATTTGATGAATTTGATGATCAAATGTAAATAGTTTTTCAATAGCGCGAAAAGTAATTTTAAACAGCTCAAAATTAATTCTCAATAACGCAAATAGCTTTCAATGGCGCATTAGAATATATCCTGTTGCATAATGTCATTTGAGTCATTAAACCTATAATTCATGAGTAAATGCTGTAAAAATATAACTTGGAAGATACTCAAATGATACCTATGCGTTTGCAATAAATGCACTATTTGTCTCATCCATATAGGTTTCATCAAACATTTTTTTGCATTGCATTGTCATTTGAAATGTTGTTTATACACTATAAATATAATTATTTTAAATGTGAGGCGTTTGCGTTTGTTAGCATAATACCTACTGAATAGTGGTACAATATAACAACAAAATATCAGATCTACTTACTATTTACGTGATATCTCAGTCCGTTTTCTCGACTCTTATAAGTCATATAGTATTATTTAGTAACCAAAAAAAAAAAAAAAATTAAAGCGATTCTAACATAGATATTGCCTCACTGGTAATCACCAGTCTAAAGTATAGACTAGTCCGACCCTGCACTTAATAGTTAACAACTATTTACGCGTAAAGAATCCGTCAGCGTACGAACACGTAATTTTTTCGTTGTTAATTATGAACCGATTTATACACTTATCGATTCAGTGCAGTGTGGCAAATGTGGCTTCGAAACGACGGAGCGCGATCATACGGGTGCGCGAGCCGTATGCGTACTCGTAGTACAGTAGCATGGGCGATTGTAAACTCCGCCAGGTTTTTCCTTACCTGTAATGGGCATATGTAAACTCCGCCAGTTTTTTTTTGTGTTTTGCCTGTGAATCCTCACATAGTCATCTAAGAAATTAATTTTATAATAGTCAACCGAATTTTCATATTTTTAATAAAGTTTTTACCGAATTTCAAACCCATACTTATATAAAACTAAATGGCAAATCTCAAATAAATAAGCTGAAAAACTCCAAATAAAAAAATAATGACAGTGTTACAGAATGCTATAAATAGGTACACTAATGGATTTATACAAGACATAGAATATATACAAATTGTATCACATCATTTTAGCTTACATACATGACATCACTTTATATTTTTGGATTATTAATTATTACGATTATTTATTATGATTTTTTTTTTTACTGTGATTTAATTATTCGCATTAATTCGCATATTTAATGCGAATGATATGATATTATATTATAATATAATTTTTTTTAATAATATATCATATTAATTTTATACTACTACTTGATTTTCTTCACTGGTGGAGTTTACATGAACTCAATTTTAATAAATTTTACAATTTTTCGCTTATACTTTTCATAATATTCCTAAATAAGTATTTCCATTAAAAATATGTATTATTCTTGCATAATTGAATGCTTTTAAGTAATTGCTTGACACAGTGGCGTAGTTACGGAGAGGGTGTAAGGGGTTTCCACCCTCCCCACACACATTTTTTTTATTGATATTGTATGTATTGATATGTATCTACGCCAATGGCTTGACAAATATTTTTTATTTCAAATACTTCAATGTTATATATTGCTACTAAGCATGTGATTTGCTTTATTCATTTAGATTGAATGACATTGAAAAGGTTGAGGTCAATAACTAGCGAAGACCGATTAAATGGGCTAACACTGCTTCATATCCATAAAAACATAAATGTTAAAATAGATAATATTATTATACGCTCTGCTCAGCAAAAAAAAGGCATATACTCTTATTAAAATTATAAGATAAATCGTATAAATCAATATATTTATATCTTTTTTTTTTCCATTAATGTTTAACTGTGTTAATATTATTACTATATAAATATTATTATACATTTATACCTATAATCCATATGTATATTTAATGTTATATATATATTAGTGATGGGTCGAACCCTGATTTTTTAATCGAACCTAACTTGAACTGAACTTTAAATTATTTTTTCGAACTCGAATTGAACCGAACCTTCATATTTTCTGCCGAACCGAACCGGACCTATTATGACTTTAAGTCGAACTCGAACTCAATACTTTTTATCATGTACGTTGTACCTACCTACAAATTAAAACAACCATAATTATTAATTACTATTGTATTTTAAGTTTTCGTATTACCTATTCTACATTTTAACTTTTAAGTCTAAGTAATTGTATTATATACAATACATTTAAATTTTAGAAAATTTCTTATTATTATTATTATTTTTCAAAACCAGTATTGCGCTCTCTCGCAGTGGCGTACACAGCAATTTCCAGTTGGGGAAGGAGGTTTATAGAAAAACAAAAACATATTACCTAGTACTGAGCTGTAATAGTTGATACTAAAAGCACTAAAAATAAAAATAAAAAAAATATTACCTAGTAGGAAACAAATATTCTTAAAAAATGCATTTTATTATAAATTATAAACTTATAAGACAATTTCTAATTTTCTTGGTTTTCGTCCCAACTCATAAATAACCTCTTCGGCTGTTAAGGGTGTTCCCCGATATTTTTACAACATGGTCAGTCCATTCAATCTGTCCTATGAATATAATATTTTTTCAAGTTTAGGATAAAAATAGAATATAAAAATATTTACCTCCTTCATTGTATTTGTCAAATAAGTTTTCACTCTTTTCAAATTTGAAAACATTCTTTCCGGGGTAGCTATTGATATTGGTAGTGTACAAAATATTTTTAAAAACATGTGAATACTCGGGAAAATAATTGAATTACATACCTAGCCTAAAAGCATCGATTATATTTGATGGTTTTTTCATTTAGACGAGCTAATTTTAACTTCCACATTTTTAGTTCATTATTAGCAGAAGACATAACAGTAGAAGGTGATAAGTAGAATGAAACGAGAGATTCGAAATCTGTTTTATTAGAATATTCGATTTTATAAAATAAACAATGAAAACCTAAATAATATTAAATACATTTTTAGTTCGATTTTGATACTATGATAAAATACAGACAAGAATATTAAGTCATTAACAGTATTATAAATTATTAGAAACCTTTAAAAATATTATGGTGCTCTAGGAATCTCATTTCTAGTTGGTTTATAAATGGCTCAATATAAGGAATGCAAATTTTCATTCTGGATGGATGGATGATCACAATAATTGTGATCATCCATCCATCCAGGTTAGGTTAGGTTATCATTATTGTGACGACACCCCGAAAACAGACAGACAATTACAATGTAATCTAAATATAGTTGGGTTTGTTGTAATCACAAGTCGGTCGACAATCTAAGATTAAACTACTTCTCAACAGTAACATCTATTTTATAATGCTATTATATTTCAATATACAAGTATAAATAGATAATATTTGATATTTTGTGTTTATACATATATGCATATGTACAATGAATGTTATCGTCGTAATATTAATTTTAAATATTGGCTATTTTTGCAGTTTTAATAAAGGACCTTAAAAATCAATGGGTGGGGAGGGTTTGAACACCCAACCCCCCATGTGTACGCCACTGCTCTCTCGTGTTGTCTTGTAGCTTATAAAATATTCATTGAGTATTGAGTATTGAGTGTAATATGACAATACAATCAGTACATTTTAATAATATGTAAAAAAAATATTGTTATAATAACTATAATTCACACATATAGAATGATTAGTAGAATTTATAATGTAAGACGTAAGTTGTAACCATGTTTTTATTATCAGCACAATTACGATACCAAAATATTACCATGAATTTATCCAAAATGGATTTTAACCTCTACAATAAATATGATAAAAACAAAAATAGCTAGTTTATGAATGTAGATACACTGCCTCTATTGGCGATAGACAACTTATTAATGTTTTGGTTTACGGAGGGTGGATGTCTAACATGCGACTGGAAAAATTACACTATTATTATAACAATAGGTTAGCATTATTATTATAAATAATGCATAACGTGCCCTTTACAGATTATCACTTTCTATCGCCAATAATCTAATTATTTCTAAATAATCATTATCAATTTTTATTTTTAAAAATAACTTTTGAAGAATTGTACAAATATTTGGTTTTCAAACTATCGTGGCCAGTAAGTCTGGTTCGACAAATATTTTCAAGTTCGATTTTCGAACAGTAATAGATGCTTGATAGTTCGGTTCGATTTTTTTTCATGCTGAGTTCGAATGTCGAACCGAACCGAACATCAAGGGTTCGGTTCGGTTCGAGATTCAAACAGTTTGACCCATCACTAACATATATATATTATATTATTACAATCAGGGTTGGGATTTTATAGCACTTAAAATAGCATAAATGTGCGCTATAATATTACCTTAAAAATCGCTAAATGAGCTCTAAAAATATACAATAAGAACAACAAAATATGCAACAAAATAAAAAGGAAATTTATTATTTAATAATTTTGTACGAGCACACGAGGCGAATGTAGACTGTATAAAACGAAATCTACACTCGTTCGTTGGTAATTGGCTATTAGTAGATTTAGTAGAAATCGACAAAAAAAAAAAAAACCCCAACCAAATCAGCAGGTAACAAAAATTAGAACCATATAACTAAAACGAAATTATTGTTATATTATACCTACCAATATATTATCGCTGTAATTTTTTTTTTTTTTTTTTTATTATATAATAAATCCGCGGCTTCTATGGCCATTGGACGTTATATTTTTTTTTAACTTAATACATAAAATAAACAAATAGATTGGTGCAGGTTGGTTACAGGAGGTTGATGAGGTGTGTATCTGTGAGGAATTGGCAGAGCTTGACGATATTGTCTGGTTTGGGGCTTAGTGTTTCAGCTAGGTTATAAGATATGTGCTGCTTAATTCTCTCCATTTTGTGTGCGTTACATTCGGTGATTATATGTTTGACTGTAAGAGGGACCCCACAGCATATACAAATGGGGGGGGGGGTCCTCTTTTTTTATTAAGTGTTCGTGTGTAAGACGTGTGTATCCGATTCTGAGGCGGTTAATAGCTGTCTATCGCTATAATTATAGTGTTGAATCAGTGTAATCGGTCTATTTACTTAATCTATACATTTATAATTTAAATGAAAATTTAATTTAAAATTTTGAATCTTGAAAATTCGATCGACAAAAATCACAAATCATGTTTACCAAAATACAATTTCATAAAATATGCCCGATACTGATTAAAACATAGATAAAACGCAAAAAAAGGTTCAAACAATTCAAAAAATGCTCTAAAAATTAAAAAATGCAAAATATGCAAAAAAAAAAAGCAAAATTAAATTTTTTATTTGAGTTCTCTGTTTAATGAAACACATTTTTAGCTTACTCTGCTATTTTTTAAGCATCTCATAAGAAATATGCAAATGCTATAAAATCTCAACCCTGATTATAACACTCTAAGGTCGTAACACTAATGACATTATATTATATTACATATATATATATATATATATATATATATATGTTTATTTTTGCCATTCGCTATTGGATTAGAGCGTTTTGCGTTTTCGTTGTACTGACTGCGTTTGGTAAGCGGCGAAGAGTGGTGTAGTTTAAATATTTATTATGGGTTAAGTTTGTTCAACACGTTTGTTGTTTAAGTTTAGAAATTATTTCTCTATAGGTTATATATGTATAAATTATATAACTGGTGATTTCTGAATACAAGCGCGACGG